AGTGGCAGCATTAAAATTTAAACCAAGACTTGTCTGTCTTCAAATCCTATTTATAACTACCACCTATCATGTTTTCATACAGTAGAAACAGAAGCAAGCCAGGGACTTAATTAGGCCACCAAAAAGTTATTTTTCACAAAAGATCTACACACATAGCTACTTTATTAGTTTTCTAATGGTCTTCTGTAATAAGCACCAGACTATGTTCATTTAGTCCAGTTTTCCTTATGTTTTTTTAATTTTGATTGCCAGACTTATGCTAGGCAATAAAGGACAGTGTTGCTGTCAAAACTATCTTCTCCTCTTATTTATCACCACTTGTGAAATCATTAAAGTAGTAATTCTTTATTCTGTATTTTTATGTTGTTTGTAGCTTTTGGATAATAAAGTAGTATGAAATCTTACAATTTATATAGAGATTATAAAAAATGAGCCACATGAAGCAACCTGGAAATCATTTGGCTGGAGACAGCAACTCATACTGCTACTATCAGAGATTAATCTTGATTTTTGCTCTGTTTTGTAGAGAGGTGGGCAATTCTAAACCTGGGATTACTTACTTACTAGCTAGAAAGAAGGATTCAATACTTGATAGTCTAGCCTGGATCTGACCGCATGTCATTTCTTCTATATTGTAACATTTCTGTTTAATCTAAATAAAAACCCTCTAAAGGAAAAAAAATGTAAATGTAAGGTTGTTATTCTCTGTAGAAGTCCCTATCTCCATCCCAGAACTTTCCTACAAGGCCAAAAGAATAAAACATCTATATGAATAAAACCTTAAATCAGATTAGCAAACATTCTGTAATTCACTCCAGGTAGATTGTGTCCATATTCTTATGCAGACTTGAAGAAATGTTGGGAGACCTAGTGAGGATTCTCATGGTGGGCACACTCAGTAACTGCAGTGACCCTAAGGTATGCAAAAATGAGTTTGCACTGAAATTCAATATGCACCTCATCACAGAGTAATATCTTGTTCCACTGAAAGGTTTTCCTGGACTCCACACATTCAGAAGGAGGGCCAGATCTAGAGAGAACCCTTCAGTGTTCCTGTGGCTCCTGGACTCCCACATTTTGTAGGCAGTTCTGACTCTTGAGACTTATTAATACTTTAGTCATGTAAGGAAGGCTCCTTACATGTTTCTACAGTCATAGAAGCAAGCCATTTATTTGCTCAGGTTAATGTGTGTATTAGATTACATGCATGTAATCTGACAAACTGTTATAATTAAGAATTAAAATTTATATTTTAATCTCTACACACAGGTTCCTCAGGATGAAGTCAGGTTCACAAAGGCAAAGACATAGGTATAAATGCTATAAGTAGAGGCCAATACAAAACTTATTCCTAAATGAATGGTACAAAAAATATTATTATGGTATGGAGGGATTGAAGGTAAGGAACTATTTGAGGATGTTATTAACATTTTTTGAAATATCCAAACCTATAATAGAATATTTATCATCTTTTTAATATTCTAGTTAAGTACAGAACATCTCTAAATTATGTTATTTTCAACAAATCAACTAAGAAGTTACAAAGGGAAGATATTCTCACTCAGTCTCTGCAATTTGACATTATATGGTTATCTAGCTAACCCAGTTTAAAAATGTGAAATGAAATTTAAACTCCTGAGCCAGTCATTGGTGGCTCAAGTCAAATCCGACCTACTCAGGAGGCAGAAATGAGCAGGATCAAGTTCAAGGTCAGCCCAGGCAAATACTCTGAGAGACCTATATCCAAAACACCAACACTAACAAGGGCTGGCTCAAGTGGCAGAATGCCTGCCTAGCAAGCGTGAAGCCCTGAGTTCAAAATCCCAGTACCACCAAAATAAATAAACTCCTGGTAATCAACAGTCAGTACCAAGCTCTATCTTTGATGTCTGATGATGCAGCCATTTGTCACCCAGCTTTTACTGTCACCTCATCCAAAAACTAATTGTAAGAAAATGTGGACTCCCACCCCTACTTTTTTCTCTCAGCACACAAGAAGATGATCTCCTAAGAAAATTTTTTTTCCTTATCAATTGTGAAAACCACCTGTGTAAGACAGTAAGCTCTAGATAGCAATAACAAGACTGACTAGCAAAAGAATTTCTAGTTGTTGGGGAAACAGAAGCTCATCCAAACAGCTGCTTGCTGAATTATTTGTGTATTTGTGAATATAACTAGCTTCTGTCTTTGCATTGATTTGTCTATAGGGGTCATTAGAAAAGACTGTTCATACCTCCTTTGTGACCTTTGAAGGTCACCACACAGCTAGCATCTTCTGCTGACCAGATCTTCAGCTGAGCATCCATCCCCCCACTCAGAACCACGAGGCCTGATGGGAAAAACCTGCAACAATTCACATCAAACACATGTCCTTCCAATATTCTCTGAAAAAAACAAAAGAAATGCCATGCTAGTTATCTTGTCCATCTCTTGATGTTCTCTCACTTCCCATCTCTTGATCTCTTATATGAAATACCTTCATGCTATACCCCCATAGAAGATTTTATAAAAGGCTGTCCAGAGGATCTCTACCTCATTTGTTTACCAACTAGTGTTTAAAGGGCTTTAGGCTTCCTCTCCTGGAACTGAGCTACAGATGTTGTAAAACTGAATTCCATGGCTCTCATAGTCATCCCTAGATCTACTTTCAAGTATAAGGAACTGAGAAGACTTGGAGACTCTTACTCATCTTTTCATAAACCCCTCTAGATAGGATGGAGGTTTAGCCATATATGCAGTCTAACAGCCTAGCTATTCTGTGTTAGAAGTTGATTAAGGAAGGCAGTGGGTCCACCCAATGAACATAATCACTGGTCTGGCTCAACTGCTGCAGCCCCACTCTGGCAAATCACTAAACTTGAGAATTGTGCTCTGATTACCAGATGGAAGAACAGAGACCAATTACAGTATAATGGGCATTTTTTGGGGTTTTTGTTGTTGTACTGGGGCTTGAACTCAGGGCCTCATACTTGCTAGGCAAATGCTCTACCACTTGAGCCACACCACCAGTCCTTTTTCATGTTGGTTATTTTAGAGATAAGGTCTCATGAACTATTTGCCCAGGTTGGCTTTGAACTGCCATCCTCCTGGTCTCTACCTCCTGAGTAGCTAGGAATACAGGCTTGAGCCACCAGTGCCTGGCTGGTCCTGTATTTTTACAATGGACAACTCTTCCTTCCATAACCAGTCCAAGGTTTCTCAGACCACCCTTCCTGTATTATTTTCTAAAAGTGTATTCAAATTCTTTACTCTGAGTTCTCCATTGGAAGCCTGCCAGATCTTCATGCTCCCATCGGAACTAGAAGACACACCAAGGCCTCCTCCGCTGGAAATGTCCAGGCATGTTACCTGTTCAAAAGACAAAAAAAATGTTACAAATAATAAAATGCTCGATTCCCTTGAAATATGTTTAAAACTTCCTTTGATTTATACTCTTCCAAAACCATCTCAAGTCTATATTTCCCAACACAAAGGATTTATGTGTGATATGATGGCTGAATTTTCATCACCAACTCAACAAGGCTGGAGCCAACACCTTGAACGTCTCCAAACAAAAAAGATATTTCTGCAATCATCTGTTTTAGCTAAAAAGTTTTCCCTGTCCCACACTGTTTCTACCTTTTGCTATTTCTTTTTTGTTTTTAAGGTAGCTCTCCTAATTCTTAGGAACCCATTTACATAAAAGACAACTTTCCAAGAAGCACCAGAAGTATTTGCGTAAAAGCAAAGATACTACCAGTTATATCTCTATATAGGTGTTTGATAGAGATAAAGATACCATATTCATAAAGTCACAAAAGGATGAAACTAGAAATACCTGTAGGTAATGTAAGATTGGAAAAATAAAGTCATACCATGTAAGACTATGTAGATCTTAAACGAATACTAGAAAGATAATATAGAATAATGTACATATCATTAAGTAATAAAAGCAAGTAATAAAAGAGCATGTCCTCTGGATGCCAGTGGCTCACACCTATAATCCTAGCTACCCAGGAGGCAGCACCTTCTATTACCCAGCACTGT